TTTTTTTTTTTCAATTTGCCAATTTGCCAATTTGCCAATTTGCCAATTTGGACCATTTATGCGTGTCATCGTTGCGCAGGGGCCATCCATGCTAATCTTCTTTCTCTCTCTATCGTTCCAATTTTAACGGATGTCCCGAAGGACATATTCAGAATTGTATTATTTCAGTTTATTTAAATTATTTTACTATTTCAGTAATTTAAACTAATTTTACTCAATTGTTTCCTGTGGACTTCGAACTCAGGAGGTCTGTGTTTCAACACTTCACTGGTGTATTAACTTGAGCTAGGCCGGTTGGTTAGTTTAATAAATCTTTAATTTCATTCTTTGCTGATTTCTGAATCATTTTAAAAGGCCGACGGCCTTGAGATATCGTCTTTGAAATTTGAATTGACCTACCCTTGGTAACTTCAGAGGTATTTTTTTACTATTTTATTATTTTAATTTTTAACTCGACAGAGTCGACACTGTGTCGACAGCATATATTTATTGCTGGAAACGGGGCTCAGCATCCCTTACCTATCGTTATCATTAGGGGGAGGAGTAGGCAAATGACCGCGAGGCGACGTCACTCAGGTGCTATAACCCTGAACTGTTGAAATACAAACCTGAGGTCGATTCCCAATGCGACACGATGGCAAAAAAAAAACGAAGCAAAGACAAAAAAGATTTGCTTCCTGGAAACAGTGGGGCATCGATTGCTTCGTGGATTGAACGGGTTGGCCGCTGATATGTCCCTGTTTTTGTCTTTTACCCGTAATCAGAGTCGTCACTCCAACGGTCGGGATGCCTGGATTGGTCAGCTGCTGACCAGCCGAATGTTCCACTCGTCGGCACCCATCCGTCAGCGATTGGTTGGCACTTCACCCCAAAAAGGAAAAGTAGTTTTTTTTTAGTGGGGTCCATAACCCCCAATAACCCCACAAAACAACGCAATACACCCCCATACACCTGTCTCTTATACACATCTAGATGTGTATAAGAGACAGCAATCAGAGTCTCCCCCATCCCCGAAAGTTTCTCGGTGAATTTCGGCTGTACTCAGCAAGCGCAGTATATAGCCCTGAACTCTAGGTTGTTTTCCCGGGCGCGCGGGTACCCAACTTGTGCCCGGATATTCGCCCGGGTGCCCGCCCCAGGCATGACCCNGTATATAGCCCTGAACTCTAGGTTGTTTTCCCGGGCGCGCGGGTACCCAACTTGTGCCCGGATATTCGCCCGGGTGCCCGCCCCAGGCATGACCCCCGGGCAGGGTCCCCGGCAGCCCCAGCGCAAAAAATACAAAATTTTAAAATTTTAAACAATCCAAAAAAATCCGGAAAAGAAAATGTTGTGTAGAATTGCAATACAAACAACTTTTGGCTGAGGGTCACATCAGAATTCCTCACTGAACAGAAGATAAAATAGAAAATAACTGAATCACACTAAGGTCACCTCCTTCAAATCCCTTTAGCCCCTTTAAAACCAATTTATACCCCCCTTCCCCCCCTCCCTTGACAGCCAGCACTCAAAAAACGAAAAGAGCCCGGATTTGGCCTCCTCTTGGAGAGCGCGGAAAACCCCCGTGCCCGGGAATCCCGGGTGTCACACCCAGGTGACCGGCCAGTCATGAAAATCTGCCCTGCCTTCTTCCGCCAAAAACAACGTACGGTCATTATAGCTATATCTATTTGCGGTATCTTTGAGTCTAAAATTCTCTAAATACAGCTGTAATGACCGTACAATGCGTACATTGTATTCGGGAGAAGAAGGTAGCCTGAACTCAGATTTGAGAAAAAATCAGCAGATGGCCCTCTACAGACTGGTCGGCCCTACTGGTAGGCTGAGGTCTGCAGGTATGCAACCCAGCCCTTCATCCTTTTTTTTTTTCAAGTCAATAGACTCTCTCTCTCTCTCTCTCTCTCTCTCTCTCTCTCTCTCTCTCTCTCTCTCTCTCTCTCTCTCTCTCTCTCTCTCTCTCTCTCTCTGTGTGTGTGTGTGTGTGTGTGTGTGTGCATCTTTCACACATATGCAAAGCTTGTGTAGGCACCACTTGTGTCTTCTTCCGTGAATCTGTCTCCTGAGTCTGTTTCTGGCTGGCAGTTCAGCCTCATTGGGAGACCTATATGATTGGAGGGTGGTTTGGTGTTGAGTCTGTTGACATGCTTGCTCAAGGTCCCAACAGTGCGTGTCATTTTTTTGGCAAAGTGCCAGCGGCCCAAGCTACGTTGGCAGGCAGGATAGCTGTAGAGGGGCAGTGGTCCCAAAGGTCCCAATGGTCCCAATGGTCCCAATGGTCCCAATGGTACATGGCCTTTGCTCATGCCCAGTGGTTGCATTTTCAGCGCCATATGTCTATCATCTATGTGGGACTTTTTTT